TCTCGTACCAGGTGTTAGGTTTTATTTAATTTTTTGTCTTGTATTTGTATTGTCTGGTGGCTTTTATTTTGAAACCTCTTTGCCCTCGTGTTTCAGGAAGCTTGCCCGCTCCCGGTGTTTCCTGTGTCTGATTGTCTACCCAGCCCTGATTGTCTCCACCTGTTCCTCATTACCTTGTGTGTGTATATATAGTCTACGTCTCCCTTTGTCCTGTGCCAGTTCGTCTTGTCATTGAGTCAAGCTTCACGTTCTAGCCCTCTTCATGTCCAGGATTTCCCCGTTCATGTCCCTTGTGGAAACTACCTTCAGGTTTTGTATTTTGTTTGCTACTTTGCATTCACCCTCTTTCCTAGTCAAGTGTTTGAGTTGTTACTTTGTTTAGAAAGATTAAGTTTTTCCTCATCGAGTGATTTTTTGGTTCTTTTTTCTCCTCGTTAGAGTGACGCTTTGAGTTTTGTTTTTTTTTATTGTTGAATGATATTTCTGTTGACACTTTTGTAAATAAATCAGTTTGAGAACGTTTTTTGAGTCGTGCATTTGGGTTCGCTTTTTTGTTGGTCTTGTCAGCAGCTCTAAACCTCTTCCAAATCGTAGCACTATATGTGAACAGTCTCTCTGCAAAGTCTGACTCTGATAAAGTGAAGCAGAACAATATTGCAAAGGTTTTAGTCCAGACAGGTCAGGAGAGGTGACATTTTTGCACACTTTGCCACACTTGTGACCATCTGAATGTTCTTATGTACAAACTATATATTTCACTTGTATATCACTAATGGTGTTCAATACATGCAAATACAGCAGTTTTTCAGTTTTTTGAACATTCAACCAGACCGCTGTCTGTGCTACGCGTCCTGTGCGTGATGCTGACCAGACAGCTGTGGAGCTGCTGTGGTGACGCAGGGCTGTATCTCCGTCATGGATTGGTCGATTTCAGTGATTGACCCCTCCTTCGAATCGTTAGAGCCAATAGAATATAGCAATAGCCACCAAAATGAGATTGACAGCACTTTCAGCCAATCAGAATCATCCATCTTGTAGCCGAGCAGCTTGCTGAGCTATGCACACTTAGGTAGCGCCCTAAAGTTAACGGAGCCTCCAAAAGACACCCGGAGTGATTTCAGTGTAACACAGGAAGTAGTACTAACTGTTTCCGGTGTGGATTTACTGACAAAATAAACTTTTCATGGAAAAACAGATGAGGTAAGGGAAATTATACAACTACAGGTTGATGAAGCGGTTCTGGTTTCTGCTGTTCTTTGGGTTATTTCTCGCCGATGCTTTGATTTTAGAGAGCTTTGATGGATATGTTTGGAATCTGTGGACTGTCTGGTTTCGTTTGAGCGGTTGTTTGTGCGTTTTGCATAGAGTACCGAAGCGCTGGAGTCAGAAATGTGGCGAGTGGGTCAACTTGGTGGCGCTATATCGATTTCCGTATTTGATAGTTCATTTAGTTGGTGTTTGAGTTGTGTTTGGGGCATGTAGAAATGGCTGATATATTCTTGTAGCCCAGGTTCTGCTGTTTAATTTGATGTGCAGCANCTCGAGGACCGGAGTTCGACACCCCTGGTCTAACAGAACCAGACACCAGGAGAGCTGCCTCTGCTGGTTTCAGATTCCTGCTGTGGAGAGGCTTGTCCTTCCAGGAGGTTCTCTGAAGAAGACGTCTGACGCCGTTACAGTGACTCTCATGACCGTTTCGCTTCATTATTCATTTTAGCTGGATGACCAGCTATAAGGAGCGTCTTGGTGGTTCCACACTTCTTACATTTTGAACTAACTTTGCTCCTAGAAACTGTCAAGACTGAGAGTTAGGTTTTATGATTACAGACCAGGGAAAGCAGCGTGATACAAGTAGGATTTTACTAAATAAAAAAAGATGTTACAATAAGACTAGAATAAAACAGTAAAAAGGAGTAATGATACTGAAGTAGTAAGGTAATACGGTACATGAAAGTGAAATAAGCCACATATTGGTCCCTGTGCATCCTGCTGCCATCTCTTCACCAGCTAAGCAAAGTCCTTAAAAAAAAAAAAATCTATATATTTTTACGTATAATTTACTCTTTATATCTCACATAAAGCATCTTGTAATTGTCAAATATGTTCTGGTATTTCATAACTTGGACATGTTCAGCTCTAACTGTGCTAGGTGAACTCCATCAACACCTTGTCTGGGCACCAACATGGTGGTCCGGACAGGCCTTTTTCCTGTTTTCAAGTCAGCTGCCTAACGCGGAACATCTACTGACAAGTGCAACGAGAAAATAGGTACCTGTCAGTGGTTTTAATGTCGTGTGCATGTATTCTGCTTTTCACAGGTGTCAACATGCAGTTTTGTCTACGAGTGTCCTCACTGAATAACAGTCTTGCCGGACGTCTTGGGTCATAAGTCGGCCGACCGAACTGCAGCACAGTTTACAGACTGTGGGTGATGTTTTACAGCTGAGCCTCACCTGCTAGACGCTCTACAATCCATTCAAATGTCAACACAGCAACGTCTCTTAACCTGCCATCGGATGAGACGGCTCACCTGCATGTCCTCTGACACGCAGACAGGAAACCTTTAAGAAATCCCTCGAGACAAGATGTTAACTGTAAACAACATTTATTTAAATGTACAAAATCAGACCGATTGCCAATTTAGTCTTCATCTTCCTCCTCCTCTTCATCCTGATTGATCTGGAAGTAGCGAAGCTCGTAGCTCTCCTTGGTATTGGCGACGACGCGGAGCCAGTCGCGGAGATTGTTCTTCTTCAGGTACTTCTTGGTCAGATACTTCAAGTATCTGCAAAACAGGACACAGAGCGGAGCGTCAGATCACGTACACATTAATCACTTTCAAAACAGACATGCACAGCATCCATGAAAACTGTTTTCAGCCCAAAAATAAATAACTACCCACACAAACACTACTCGCCTCCTTGTTGAGCTTGTAAGATTTGCAGTAGACCTACTTACTGGTTTAAATATGACAGTCAGGCTAGCAGCTAAAAGGAGAAAACTAGAATGGTCTTATGTGACAAAAGAATGAGACTGAATGTAAGAAAATTACAGAATTCATTCTTTCAACATCACCATGAGTTTTATTACTTGATTATTCCTTAAATTCATCTTTTTGTGAGCAGCATAAAGGGCCTGTGTCTTGTGTTTATAATAGATTATATTAAATAAGTGACTTAACTATATCCATATGGCCAATTATAGTGTCGGGCCATCTGCCAACGCTGCCTGCTTGGTGTGCACGTGCTCACAGTTTGGGTTGGAAGCCCTTAGGTTGGCCTAACGAGTTCACATCCGGCGTTGTGTGATCACTGAGTCAGGTTTAGTGAAGCCAGATCACACAAACATGTCCTGGTTATGCTGAACTTGCTTCGTAGTGCAGACTAATGGTCCAAAAGGACAAAATGCAATGAAGCCTCCTTTTTTTTTTTTTCTTACATAAATTAAACAAAAGGTTTTTAAAAAATCCGAAGGTGTTTGGAACCGTACCAGGGCTTTAACTGGGATGTCTGACACCATTTCAAAAAATGGATCAAAAAAGTGCATCGTGACGCTGCATCATTAAAACCAGTTAACCCAGCTTTCTCGTCCCCTGTCCCCCTGCAGCCTTCAGACTGGAAGCTGTTTGTCTTTCAGAGGTCAGCCTGGTTACTGGTGCACCAACAGAATCGTCAACGTGATTCAAACGAAAAGGAATTAAGGTTAGAATAGCTGCAGCGCTTCAAACCCAGGAGACGAGCAGAGACGAGAGCTGACGCAGTTGCCTTTCGTCGGAAAACGTCTCGAAAAATCACCTCCTGACAACAGTAGTTTTGCAAGAGAAAAGACTTCAAGGAAAAACAAAACAAACGTCCGCACAAGTTTAGGATCAGCACACAGCCTGATCAAAGGGAAGCTCAGATCAAATCACACGTAAACGTCTCTCTTTACACAAAGCAAAGCTTCTGTGGTCGAGAACAAAGATTGCGTTTGTATGATAAGCAACGCTGCATCTATCTCATCATGAGAACAGAGGCGGCAACTGGGAGGTTAGTTTAGAGGAAAATAATCAGAGATGGAACCAGGGAATCTAAGCTGTAATCTGTCATAGTTATGTCTTATTTCATTTCATGTTCTGTTTAATTGACTGCATATGAACGCCCAATCGGTTCTGTTTTTCTGAAGGCATTAAGTGTTTGGGGTCCAGGTTAGCAGTTGGACCTCCTAAAACAGAAACACATGAATGACAGAATGTTCAATTCACGTCAAAGTTTGTTATCAGATTAGATTTTTTTAAAATCATATGCAAATGACATTTTAAATGTATCTCGTCAGTGCCAGATAGGCAACATGATGCTGTTCAGTTCTGTTAAAAAGAAGCATTTTAACATTGCGTGAATCAGGTGATGCATTGAGTGGAGGGTGGGCGGTCTGGTTTGCTGTGTGGCACCCGCCTCAACTAATTATTTGAGCCTGCTTAAGTAGCCCCTGCATGGCTGGGTCTAGGTTATTAATTATTATAATTGTTATAGTGGTAAAATAGTGATGGTAATGATCGTCCATCCATTGTATGTGCGCCGCTTGGTCCTGGCAGGGGGCTAGAGTCTATCCCAGCTGAGGTAATGATAGTGATGGTGATGATGGTAATAATGATAATAACTGCTGTTGTGATTATTGATTTCATCGTTGCCGTCTTGTGATGGCTTTGATTATCACTTGAATGACTGTAAGTGCTACCATTAGTGTTGTTTCTACTGCTGTTGTTTTGCCTTCTGTCTTCCTTTGGTGGCAATATGATCATTCTATTCTATTCTAATTTTTTTCCTCTATATATTATTATTTTGTGTATATATGTATACATATATTTTTTCCCTTATTTTCTTTCTTCCTTAAATAATATACTTATATATATTGCTGCACATCTAACTGATTTGATATTTGTCTTGTGTCTTGTATGTTTGTGTAAACTCTCCTGTCGTGTCATTTGTAAGAGCTCAATAAAATAAATAAATAAATACATGCATACATACATACAAATTGCGTGAACCCATCTGAAGGTTCTGTCATTTGGACACGAATCGTAATACTCACGAAAATTAAACATCTCAAACTTCAACTTGCTCATATTTGTATATTCGTGTCTGTTTTAAAAGCAGCATTGCTTCGTATTTTCCAGTTAAATGTGAAACACACCAGGGTTGGGATAACGGACAAACATATCTGCAACTGGCTGAGCCCATTGCTGCTTGGCTATTGTTTGGTGATTGTTTTGGGCAACTTCTGTCAGTTTACGTTGCTAATATAATGCATGCCGTCACTTGGATTTAGGCCACTTTATGAACTGTCTTGTTCCACCGTTTTCAGTCTTTTGCAAAACATGACAGTGGCTAAATAAAAATGAAGTCGCCTTTTGCCTGGTCAAGCAATCTCAATACACAACGCACATGAGCACCAAGAGTGCGGTTGTCAGCCTGATCATTTGGTAGCATCGTCCTCGCCGGTTGTTAATTTAATCAGTGGTACTCAACGCACAGCTCGCAGGCCTCGTGTGGCTCATCGAACTTTTACTGTGGCTCACATGGCAACTAGAAATTACATGACAATGCAGCCAATAACCCCAGTTCATAAAAATAATCAAAACAGCACCATTATTCTTACACAAGATGGAAACCTGCTCAGATCTCTACTAACCTCTACTACTGCTGCCAGTTTTAATGGCCCTCTGAATGGCTCGAGTACTGTAGGACAGTAAATAAGCATTGGGCTGGCATAGACTAATTTGACACTACACTATACACATGCATCCTTTTCACATATTTGTGTTTTATCACTAAAAGCAGGAAAGCTGCCACTCATCTGACAACACTGCAGACTGGCATGGTGACGCGAGTTTGGCTATTGCAGCATCAGGCCAGGTAGCGTGATGCGCACCGACAGTAAAAACAGATCGAGTTCTGAACAAACAAAAAGCAAACAACAGAAACATAGCGGTGTCACAAACAAGACACAGTCAATACCAATACGTTAGAGAAGAGGCGAGCGAGCAGACAGTGGTTGGTCTAGGTCAGGGTTTAGCAACCTTAAACACTCAAAGAGCCATTTGGACCCGTTTCCCACAGAAACACCAGGAGCCACAAAACCCTTCTGACATCTAAAATGAAGATAACACTGCATGTATCGTTTTTACCGTTATGCTATGTATAAAAAAAAAAAACTAGTCTGTTGCATTTATGAAATCAACGAACTGCTACAGAGAAAACAAATTTTTATTTCTGCAACAAAAACATTTTGAACTACGAAAAAAAAGACGCTGGGTTGAAGGTTACTTTCAAACAAAATACTCAATGTCTATTTGAGTCCTCCTCGTATTTATGAAATAAAAAGCCCATCTTAAATCATCCACCTGCAGCAAAGTAAAAATGACGTCTGGTTGTCCTGCTGACTGCAGCTGGGACTGCTGACCAGACTGCTGACCGCCTGTGAGCGCTTTGGGACGGGAGGAGCTCACGGCAGCACCGCTGCTCGCTGAGGACAGTAACTGCAGAGCAATACGTGTTTTCACGTCAGAGTCTCCAAAAACACCAGAAAAGTTTCCAGTAACACCAGAAAGAGTCACTAGATTTGTCTCGAGTCGCTTTAGACAAAAAAAAAAGTTGCATCACCAAGTTGGCAACACTGTGTGTGCAGGTGGGTGTCGCTCATCGGCGGTTGTGACGCATATTTTGAGTGACAAAAAATTAAATGTGTTTTATTTTAATATTATAAGATCACCATAATCTTTGAATTTAGAATTACATTTTAAAAACGAACAAAATAAAATAAAATACATTTAAATTAAACGCTCTTTTTTTCCCCAAAGCCACAAGGAGCCGCAGCAGAGGGATGAAAGAGCCGCGGGTTGCCGACCGCTAGTCTAGGTGAAAAAAGAGTGTAGGAAATTTCAAGACAAATTTTGAAATAGTCCTCCACGGATCCAACCTTTAGTGTTTCACACGCAAACAACCGCATTCTGGTTTCAAGCAAATTAACTTGGAGCACCATTTCAAAACGTCTAAATGTTCCACGCCAAGTTGAGAAAGTGCAGCTACGCGAAGCCAGGTGTAAGCGCACATTTACAACTTTCTTCAATGAAACATGCGATTAACCACAGAGTTACTGAAGCTGAAATGGAGAAGACACATGGCTCATGCTTTTCCCTCAGTGAGCTACAGCTACTGATGCCCATTAGGAAGTAAACGATATGTAAAAATTGAAAACATGGCTGCTGTAATAAAGGAGCGTGTTCATATCGCTGATGATGAAAACGTTGCTCATTGGGCAGCGCTCACACTCATTACATTGTGTTGGGCTTTAATTGCATCTGCATTAATGTGTTTTTCTTAATCTTGACAGTTTAGATACAGATTGCATCCCAATACCAGTGGACATTAGCTACATATGGTTGTCAGTACAAGTCTGTTGTGGGATACTGAATGCATCGGTTCCCTCCAAACTGGCAGCAATTCTCAGAACTTTTGGACGAAGCTTGTGAGTGTCCTCTGATTTACACACTTTTTTTTTTTTTTTTTTAAAAAGGAAAAAATGGTGGCTATTATTTTACCTTTTGGAGAAGGGCACCTCGGAGGAAACTGTGATCTTGCTTTTGCTCCTCTCGATGGAGACGACACCGCCGCCGAGGTTGCCAGCTTTCCCGTTCACCTTGATGCGCTCTTGTAGAAACTGCTCCTGTAAAACAACATGTTTGCAGAATTATCACACGAGCAGCTTAATGCTCAGCGTGAATATGTGCCAAATCACAAGTTTAAACTAACAAAAGGCAACAGGATACCGCACACAGGATGCCTAATTAGATGGATGCACGTTTATTTGTGCCCGTGGGGAAATTGGTTTGCAGCACAAAACACTCAAATGGCATTTCACCCTTAGGTAGCCCACAAAACAATATCTCCACATTTCACACGTTATGGCCAGACCAGCTGGATCTTATTTCCTGTCCATATTATATATAATCAGGTGACAAATCTCTAAACAAATGACACATGCAGGAAGTCAGACTCATTTCTGTGTGGTTTAACTTTGATTGCATTGAATTTGTGCTAAATTATTATTAACTCATGAGGTAGACTTACAAAGTTGGCAGCATCCATAATGCCATCTTCAACAGGATGGGTGCAGTCCAGTGTGAACTTCAGGACCTGCTTCTTCTTCTTACCACCTTTGCCGGTGTTCTGCTTCTTCTGCTAGTGAAAGATAAAAACATGTATCTGATCGGACAGAGAAATCAGCAGTTTCACGTGTCCTTTACTGGAAAAAAGTACTCTTTGATTTCGGCAGCAATGTGTTTTTAGCAAGAGTTCTTTTGCAGATTGTCTAGAAACTCGATGAGAAATGTGCTACACGACTTTACTCTTTATAAGCTTCATGCTGTGGGTCGTTGTTTTTCAGTTAGCGAAGCAAACACGAACATGATCGAACATGAGCTCGGCTAACGTCCAAGCTAGCTAACGTTGATGTTCAGTGTTCGGAACTACCAAACAATTATTTAATCCCCTTAGATATTAACTTCTTCTACAACTACATCCCTTAAAAATAAAATTAGTCCAAGTATCGTGCAGACATCGCTGGCAGAGCTAACGAGGCGAGCTTCTCTCTACCTGAACCAGCGTTAGCTAACTAGCCGCCATAGGCCACAGAAAAACATCCTGCCGTCCTTATGATCATAAAAAAGCGCTTAAAAAACAAACCCAAACGCTGCGTTTCGACCTAGACGTCTGTAACAAGACCGTCTTTCAATCGCACTCATTTTCTGCGGCGTTCACAGGGGAAAACAGGCAGTTTTACGGCATTTTCAACAGCGTGATATTACTTACAATAGGCGCCATGACGGAAAAGCGAGCAGAAAGGAAGAGCGAGGTCTGCGCATGCGTAAAGAAGTCAAACGCCGAGTCATCGATCGAATGCGTTGATCTTGGATCGATTCACTATTTTGATTTATTTTTTCCTCCCCTCCACGTTATTCGAATATGGTCATTCTGTCTCAATTCATCTTCAATTTGACTATTTTTTAAAATGTGGTTATAATATCCTACAGAGTCATGCGGTGATGTCGATTTTTGTGATGCTGCCTTCGTGACAGTCAGTGGAGCAATGTTCAAATGGCCGTAACTTGAGAAATAATGTAGCTACAGTCCTGAAATTTTGCAGGTTCACTGATATGTACATGTGGTCTACAATGGTACAACCCTGCTGTAATACACCGTTGCCCATAAAGTTGGAATGATTTTTCTTTTCAGACGCATTCCTCTTTTTATTTCTATTTATACAAATCAGTAATCACTTCTGACCAGGTGCAATGATTCCATACTGAGTCCCAGTTACCCAATTGAAACCAATTCTGACTGAAGAGTGGGACGTCCTGACCACTGATACCATCAACAAGCTGGTGGACAGAATGCCACCATGTCTTAAAGCACTGATGCGTGTCAGGGGCGGCCAGACTCAATATTAGTGACTGAGTGACATTTGAAAGTAATACTGGACATTCTAATGCATGAAACCCCTTCGAATATGTGTTTCCAGTTAAAGGGACTAAGGTTGACAAATGGAAACAAAACCCTGAATCCTATTATTCAATACCTCCAATTTAGTTTAAGCCTGAAGACACAGTTTGCAAAAGTTAATTGTGGTTGAATTTTTTACTGTGATATGTATGTATGTCCTGCGATAGACTGGCGACCTGTCCAGGGTGTCCCCTGCCTTCACCCTGAGTCAGCTGGGATAGACTCCAGCCCCCCATGACCCTAGTGAGGATTAAGTGGTGTATAGATGATGTATGTATGTATGTATGTATGTATACTGTGATGATCTGATGATCTGGCAGATAAATAGTTATAACAAATACAGAAGGCACTTCATCTGCTAATAACTAACTCAATGAAGGTGAATCGCCATTCATTGGAAAAATCACTTTTATTTTGAAATCAGTTTGAATACACTCCTTAACGGTTTACAGCAGTGGCACAACTCACATATACGTCGCTTTGGATACAAGCGTCTGCTAAATGAAATTGTAGAATTATAATAATAATAATAATAATAATAATCTTTATTTATAGAGCACTTTTCATACCAAGATGTAGCTCAAAGTGCTTTCCAAATTTAAAAACATAAAACAAACAAAAACAAAACACGCACATATAAAACCACGTACTTGCCCCCACGCACACACAATCACCCACAGAACCACAT